GGACTGTCACCAATCAGGAGTGCAGGACCTAAGCAATTTGTAAAACCAAAAAAGAGGCCTGTGATCGTGAGGAGAGAGCGTGAAGAGAGAGGGTAATAGTTTTAATGATTACCATTGTGAAAAACTTTGGAAAGAGACAGAAATATCTAAAAGGAAAATGAGGAGCTTTTTGTATAATATGCCATTTAAAACTCTGCCATTGACTCTTTAAGGAAATTTACAGTAAAGTACTCTATTTTCTTCAAAGGTTTTGAAGATTTTTGAAGGTTTTATTGGTTGTGGCATAGTTTGGTGTTTGTTTCATCTTGTTTTGTTTTTTGGTTTGGGCTTTTTGTTTTGGGATGGACAGGCAGAGGCAGGGGCCAGAGCAGCCAAATTATGATGTTCCATTTGTCCATGTAAGAGGCAAAAAGATTAAGACCCTTAATAAAGAGGTTTTGTAAGCCAGCAAGAAAAGGAAAGTACTATTTTAAAAATAGGTAAAGGATTTGAATAATAATTTAATTAAAATGAAAAATGATTGTAAAGATGAAAAAATGACATCATTAGTGCTCAAAGACCTGTAAAATTAAAAGAAAATATTTTTCAAGAGGGCATCCCCTTTTTTTCTCAAAAAAATTGCCCCAAAACAAGGAAGGTAAGAAATACAGAGCCATCCCTGATGGCCTAGTAGTTAAAGTTTGGCACTCTCACCGCCTCAGTGGCCCAGATTTGCCTTCTGGTCATGGAACCACACCGCTTGTCTGTCAGTTGCCGTGCTGTGGAGGTGGCTCACACAGAAGAACTAGAAGGACTTGCAACTAGAATATACAACTATGTACTGGGGCTTTGGGGAGAAAAAAAGAGGAAGATTGGCAACAGACGTTAGCTCAGAGCAAATCCTTCCCTGCAAAAAAAAGAAATACAAACTTCATATTCAGGGAGATCAGGCAACATGCATAATTCCAAAACATAATATATGAAATCCAAAAGTGAATGGAGGAATGACAGAGAGGATGAGGGTAAAAGCAAAGGAGGGAGTTACAGAGACAAGTAATTCTATTCACCATAAAGCCAACAGAACCTAGGGATGTTCTAGGTACAAGCAATGGTATGCTGGTAAATGTTGAACTAGTTCTCCAGGAAAAACTGTGCGTATGTGTGTTGTGCATATATACATACATGTAATAAATTTTATTGATATAAAGGATGTGTAGCACACAATATACAAATAATAATAAAATACACAATACTCTCTATTGAAAATTCCATATAGCCAATTGTTGATTTTTACATCTGTAGCCAACCTATGGCTGCAATTAATGAAGAAGTATATTTCCAACCTGTGTTGATATTTTCATGTATATTAACAAGGCAAATGTGAAACAACAAAGACGTAGGTCAGAACTTCACTCATTTGCCAATCATGTGAGTGACTACTTTGCTGAGTTGAATAATAGTTTTCAAACACTGGAAAAATATTTCCTCAGTGTTTTATGCTATTCACAATGTAATGACTACAGAAATGACACATTTTAAGTTTAATCTGCTTTATCAGCATTTCCTCCATCACTTTCTTCAATCTAATAATCAACAAAACAATAAATAAAACTCAAATTTGTGATTCTTGTTTATTTCCATGAGGTAAATACTCCCGTTGTGTCCAGATTCAATCTGCCATAGGAGGTCACTGAATGCAGAGTCAGGAAGAGAGGCCAATAGTACACCATCATATATCTTTCCACCATTCATAGCATTTCTCACCACAATCTTATATGTATTTTACTTATATTCAGTTAGTTATTTTCTATTTCCCCAAATCCATAAGAGCAGATACTTTTGTGTATTTCTTCTCTGTTTTGTTCCTAGTGCCTAGAACAGAGCCTGACACCTGGTAGGCATTCAATGAATATCTGTTGAACAAAAAATAAAATACTGAATTTACTATATGTTAAGTACTGTCCTAAGTGCCTTATATATGTTAAGTCTTAACTCCTCATCACAGCCCTGTGAGGTGGCACTGTTATTCTCTCCATTTTACAGATGAAACTAGAAAGTGACTTACCCAAGTCACATGGGGCCAGGATTTAAACCCAGGCGCTCTGGCTGCAGGGCTTGCGCTCTATCACAATGCATTCTCTCAATATATCAGAGCAATGATGCTGGGAAAGAGAAGGCCCTGGAGGACAGCCGTGTGGCAGACCTTAAAAGCAACCCAGTCAGATTAGAGCAAGTGGACAGAGACAATATATTGAAACTGATCAATTATCTGACAGATTTAATTTTGCAGAAACTGTTTAAAGACACTTTACAAACTATTGGAAATTGTAGGAAGAAAGAGTTCCAAAGAAACTCATTGCAAATGACAAAATGAGGCAATTATTAACTCCAGGAAAACAGTAAGTTGCATGAGAAAGGAAATGTAATCATAGTACATTACTGGACTCAGCAAGGAACAATATTTACCTAGTCATGGTAATGAAAACGATGTATATGCTTTTACCCGAAAAAAGTCAGGCTCTTGCTATGTTGGGAAGGGAAGGGAGAGAGCAAAAATTCACATCCACCAAATAGAAAGTCAATAATCTTTTTAAAATTCTTGAATCAAGCAGCAAGTGCAAAATGCAGAGGTAAATGCAAAAGAAACATCTAAAATATTGGAAGTGATTGCCTCCAGTGGGGAGAACACAAAACTAATGATTTTTGTTGTTGTTGTTGTTACATGTTATTTGTCACTGACTTGCTAATTCCTAAGTGTGTATTAGTTTGATAAAAATGAAATTAAAACAAGAAGGTAGAAGTTTTTCATATAATATTGTTTTCAATATTGTATGAAAGTTTTCAATAATATTGTCAAAGCTTCAAAAAAATAATAATATAATATATAATAATATAATAGTGTTGGCAAAGAAGCACAAACATGGGCACTCACATATACTAACTGATGAAGCTGTCAGTTGGTATTTCTCTGGAAGGTAATTTGATACTTTATCTCAAAAGCCTTAAAAAAATGTCATTTGATCCAGCATTTCTACTTAATGGAATTTATCCTAAGAAAAAACTTTAAAGATATGTACAAAGACTATGGCATTTTTTTATTGCAGCAAAAAAGAAATGAATTAATAAAAGCATCCAATCTTTCAGCCCTAGTTTTTTAAAATCATGGTAGAGCTACATAAAGAAAAATTGTTCAATTATGAAAAATTACATTGTAATTATATTAAATTGGAAAGATATTTATGAATATTGAGAAAAACAAAAAGCTGGTAACAAAATAGCAAAATGGTCCCATTTTACTCCCTTCCCGTAAAGGTATATATTTGCATTAAAATGTTTTAGAATACATGTAAATCCGTAGTTATTGCTGGGTGATGGGATTATGAGCAATTCATATTTATTTTGTTTTGCTTGTCCCCATATTATTACAATTTATATAATATATATGATTTACTTGTGAGATTGTTTACCAAGCTTCAATGTTTAGAAATCACACCTCAAACAAAACATATCTTCTCATTAAAGATTCAAGGAGCTCATCGAAAACAAGAATGTGTTACCTATGAGAGCAGACACAAAAACTAAACCTCTTCGGTCTAAAATAATGGGTCAGATGAAAAATAATCTGCATTTGTAAAATCACAGAGAATGTGGTACTAAAGTTGATGCAGGCTTGTTTACAAAAATCCAGAATATTAAAACTAATGTTCACAAAAGCTTAGAAAAGATAGAAATTCTTTTTTAATTTGTTTTGTATTTTTTACTATGAAATTCTTAACCCATATACTCTACACCCAGATTTAACAATTGTTAAGGTTTTCCTTAACAAGGTAAGGGAAATTGTTTTTACTAGCGGGAATTAAACTCAAAGAACTCATCTGTCTCAAGGAAAGAACATTTATTAACATCACTAATCATCAGGGAAATGCAAATCAAAACCACAATGAGATATCACCTCACACCTGTTAGGAGAGCTATTATCAAAAAGACAAGAGATAGCAAACACCAGGAAGTGGAGAAAAGAGAATCCTTGTACACTGTTGATGGAAATGTAAACTGGTGCAGCCACTATGGAAAACAGTATGGAGGTTCCTCCAGAAATTAAAAATTCAACTACTATGTGATCCAGCAATCCCACTTCTCGGTATATATCCAAAAGAAACAAAATCATTATCTCAAAGAGATATCTACACTCTCATGTTCATAGCAGCATTATTCACAATAGCCAAGGTATGGAAACAATCTGTGTCCATCAACAGGTAAATGGATAGAGAAGACGTGGTATATATATACAGTGGAATATTATTCAGCCTTAAAAAATAAGGAAATCCTGCCATTTGTAACAACTTGGATGAATCTGGAGGGCATGATGCTAAGTGAAATAAGCAAGATAGAGAAAGACAAATACAGCACTGCATGGTATCACTGATATGTGAAATCTTAAAAAAAAAAAGTCGAACTCATAGAAATAGACAGTAGAAAAGTGGTTGCCAGGGGCTAGGGGTGGGGTAAATAGGGAGATGTTGGTAAAAGGGTACAAACTTTCAGCTATAAGATGAATAAGCTCTGAGGATCTAATGTAAAATATAGTGGCTATAGTTGATTACACTGTATTGTATAATTGAAATTTGCTAAGAGAATAGTACTTAAATGTTTTCACCAAAAACAACAACAAAAAAGGTAAATATGTGAGGTGATGGATGTGTTAATTAACTTGGTAGGGGAGAATTCTTTCACAATATATAGGTATATCAAATCATCACATTATAAACTTTAAATATCTTAAAATATCTTACAATTTTATTTGTCAATTATACCTCAATAAAGCTGGGGAAAAAATAGAAATGGAACATTTAAAATGTCTTTTACCATAATACCTAGAATATTAGACTCTTTAAAGCATTAATTCAACTTAGGATGCATTTCTTACATTTAAGATCCTCATTTCTGCATACTTGGAATAGCCAGTTCTTGTATTTTAAAAATTTGTCTTAACTCATGGTACTGTTTGCTTTGCTTCTTAGGTACCAGCAAAAGCCAAACGTCTTACTCAACAACTTCCCTACCACCGCCTCCACCACCCCATCCAGCCAGCCAACCACCACTGCCAGCATCTCACCCATCACAACCACCAGTCCCAAGTCTACCTCCCAGAAACATTAAACCTCCCTTAGATCTAAAGTAAGCAAAAGACTGTCTTACCATTTCTTTGTCAATATCTTGTCATAGATTTTCAAACTATGCTTGGCTGAATGCTGAGGGTTCCATGGTAAACTTCTGGGCGACAAAGGTGAGCAGGGAGAAGGGATGGCTGGGCAGGCTGCTCTCAGACCCCCATACCCCTAAGCAACCCTGGTTTATCTGTTTTTACTGTGGTTTTCCTCTCAAGAGTTCATTGAAGAAAATTTCCACTGCTTTTTCAAAAGTTCTGAAGCATTCTTCAGGTCAGCATCACCACCATCTCTTCCACCATCACCACTACCACTACCATTATCATCACCACCACCAGTATTATCATCATCACCACCACTACCATCATCACCACCACCATTGTTATCACCACCACCACTACCATTATCATTACATCATCACCACCACCACCACCATTACATCATCACCACCACCACCACCACCACCATCATTACATCACCACCACCACCACTACCATCATCACCACCACCATTGTTATCACCACCACCACTACCATTATCATCACCACCACCACCACCACCATTACATCATCACC